ATAAATTTAGTAAATCATAGTGTGATACTATCCTTAGTCCTTAAGAATAAATCAAGTTTCCTCTTAAAGGACTCCTGGGAAGTCGCTTGAACTAGCTCATCCAGCGGCGAATTCCAGCATTTGACAACTCTTAAGGAGTAGAAGTTGTGTCTGCAGTCCGTTCTGCTATGTTGTCTCCAATTTCTGGGTGTTACCCGTAGGTTTGTATTGAGACTAAGCTTAAGTAGGTGTTTAAGGATATGTCCAGGAGTGTTAAGGATAGCGTAAGCCATTAAAAGGTCACCTCTAAGACGCCTATACTCTAATGGGTAAAGGTTAATTGATTGGAGGCACTGTCCATAAGGCTTGAATTTGAGCTCCCGAGATGATTTCGTGGCTGGCTGTTGAATACGTTCTAGAGTGTCTTTATCCTACTGGAGTAAGGAGGTTAATATCGTTTCTCTATACTCCAAATAGGGACGAATAAAACTGTTGAAGATTATGTTGAAAGTTTTTCCGTCAAACTGGCCAAAAATGCGCTTTAATGTCACCAGTGCAAGGTTTGCTCGAAAGGCATTTTTGTCACAGTTAGCGTAGTACTTCAGACCGTAGGTTACCAGCACTTCTAAATCTTTTTCAACTTGAGATACTTCGAGAGAGGAGTTTCTTAAGGTTTACCTGTAGTCTGCAACATGTCTCAAATGGACTACTTTACAAGTATAAAACTAAGATGAAACAGTTTATTCTCTTGTGGTTACGCCTGGAAGTTAGTACGCGGGTCTGGAATTTCGCTCGAGACCTAGAAGTATTGCATACCTACACAATGCAGGAGTCCTGTTCAAACTGTTCACTTGGTTGGTTCGGAATGGAGCTTTCGCTTGACGGGGTTCCGCGTCACGTTGCAGTAATTCATCGACGCCCATGTACATTAAACAAGATAATAAAAATATTATTCAATCAGGATTGGATATTGACTAGAGTCTTTCAGGGTATGTCAGATTTCCCACCAAAAGACTCCTGAGAAGTTACTAAGACCATCTCCGTCAGTATGAAATCCCGGAACTTGACTACTCATATTAACTGGATGTGCTACATTTCAACAAACTCAGTCGTACCTACAATTTGTGGTACTCCCTACATAGATTGTGAAAGGGCTGAACTAAATTATATACTCGACGGGACGTCCAGTAGAGTATAAAACGATACAGACTATTAAAAGGTCTCATTGGTTTATTATACTGTAGTGAATAAATATGCAGTCATTAATGGCTTTCAGCTTAAGGTTTGATTTTGAGTCCGTAAACTAACGTTGTACGACGCCTATCGAAAATTTCCATATTATCCACAATTTTTTGAACTAAATGTGGAAACTATGTAACTCCGCCCGTATCTCTTCTAGGTTTACTGCCGGTATCAAGCCCGGGTAAAGGAAGAGGGTTGGACACGGGGTCAGCAACCCCGCCTCGTAGGAAACGGCTTTGCCAAAAAACACTGACCAGAATAAATAAATTGGACCATTTAAACTCTGCCCTGAGAGTTGGACGATCTTCATTCGGAGGAATTGGGGAGCCACATAGTGAAAGCCAAGATTCTCCGAAAGTTATGAGACCGATCTCCCCTTCTAACAACCAGAGCAGCAATTAGTATAGGTACATGGGATGGATGTCCAGACAATGTGAGAGACCGGGAGGACCAATCAGATACCTACGGAAATGAGGAGATACAACTTGACAGTGCTCGGAATCAGTGAAACCCATTGGACCCAAGCTGAACAGAAAAGTTTGAATTCAGGAGAGATGCTGCTGTACTCTGGTCACAAAGAGGAAGATGACCCACACACTCAGGGATTTGCTGTGATGCTGTCCGTAGGAGCACAAAGTGCACTTATGGGATGTGAATCTCACGGATCAAGGATCATCAAAGCGTCCCTAAGAGATTCAGAAGTTCAGTGGAAAACGTGTGAAGCAGGAGAGAGCCTGACATAACTCCAAATCACCACCAACTGGTTGTGGCCAAAATCAAACTGAAGCTAAAGAAACACTGGACAACTGGAGAAACAGTAGTTCAAAGGTTCAATACAAACTTCTTTTGAAATACAGTCAAACTGGACGAATTCAAGATAGCTCTGAACAGTGTGTTCCAAGCCCTGCAATAGCTATCCAACGAAGATGAAACCATTATGAAGGATAACTGGAAAGGGATCAAACAAGCACTAACTTCAACATGTCAGGATGTTCTGAGCCGCAAGAACCATCATCATAAGGATTGGACATCTATCGAAACTTTAGACAGTATTCAATAAAGGAAGAACAAGAAGACAGCAACTAACAACAGTCAAACAAGAACAGAGAGGGCCAAGTCACAAGCTGAATACACTGAAACAAATAAGCAAGTGAAGAGGAGCATTAAAACCGACAATCAGAAGTACTTGGAAGACCTAGCAGGAACAGAGGATAAAGCTACAAGAGAAGGAGATATGAGACAACTATATGACGTAACGAAGAATGTGGGAGGGAAATGTAGTGAACCGTCGAGACCGATCAAAGACGGAAAAGGCAGGCTAATCACTGAAATCCAAGAACACATGGGGGACATTTTAGGGAACTCTTGAATGGGCCAGCTCCACTGAATCCACCGGATATCGAAGCAGCACATACAGACCTTCCTATTAATGTCACTGCATCAACGACCAAAGAAATCAGGATGGCCATAAGATAAATCGAGAGCGGCAAAGCAGCAGGAAGAGAAAACATAACAGTCAGAGCACTGAAGTCAAACATAGGGGCAACTGCGGACATGCTCCACGTTCTGTTCAGGAATATTTGGGGGAGGTTTGGTGACCCGATATCTGACTTTATTTGAATCGTATGAGTGATTACTATTGAAATAAACGTATCGTCAATCCTCGTGTAGTACCAGCGACTTAAATCGCGTCCGTGATTAACGGAATTAAGTGAGTCAAATATGAGAATTAAGTTTCAGTGCTTATATTTCATACAATCGTTGATCGGAAAGCGAAGCAAAACGGAACGGCACACAATGGAGAAGGCGAGTGAATCAACTCAATTTAGTTAAATGTGGATCGATATTTATAGTCGAACAAAAATATGTTACAGTCATGTGATGAGTAAGATGAGAAACGCTTACATAAAAACAGTCAAGGTTGATAAGCGAATAACTAACAAGGTCAAAACGTGACTCCAGAAGAATGAATAAATTGGCCTGTCCGGAAGCTAGAATAAGCTATATGGGCTTGAAATAGCAACCGACATTGCAGAGGAACAAGTGCCAACAGACCGAAATGAAGATATCAAAAAATGTAGATCTGAGCAAATGTGAGAACTACAGAGGGATCACACTACAATCGGTACCACGAGAGGTTTTCAACAGAGTGTTGTCCAACCGAATGAAAGATTTAGTGGGCACCCAACTTTAGGATCGACACACCGGATTGCGTAAGCATCGGTCGTGCACAGATCAAATTGCGACACTACGGATCATCGTTGAACGATCAATTGAATGAAACTCATCACTACCCATCAACTTCATTGACTATGAGAAGGCGATTGACAGCGTAGATCGAAGAACTTTATGGAACCTCTTTAGACACTGTGGTGTACCTGCGAAAATTGTCAACATCATCCGGAATTCATAGGAGGGATTACGCTTCAAAGTCGTGGATGAAGGAATGTTGGCAGATGCGTTCCAAGTGATGACCGGAGTCATACAAGGCTGCTTACATTCCCCCCTCCTCTTTCTTCCGACAGTTGAGTGTATTATGAAAACCTGCGTCTGAGGGGAAGCACGGAATACGATGGACAGGTTGAATGCAACTGGACGATTGGGACTTCGCAGATAACCGAGCTCTTCTATCCCGTATACACCGACAAATGCAGGTGAGGACAGTCAGTGTAACAACAACACCTGTCTGTAGCATTAGGGCTCAAAGCACACTAGGGAAAAAGCAAGATCCTGAAACAAAACACGGGGAACACTGATTCAGTCACACTTGATGGAGAGACTCTGGGCATCATCATCGATTAACAAGAGGGACCTGGTGCAGACATAAAGGCAAGAATTGAACATATGGAACTCAAAAGAACTTTCAACCAATATGAATGTCAGAACTGGGATCCTCCCAGTTAAAGCAGTTCTGGATTATAAGACGAATGTGAATGATGATTACAGCCATTGGCTTCTGTTCTCAATCACATCTAATACCGTTTCAAGCTAATGAGTTGCACCATCTGTCGGACCACAACCAGTTTGTTGTTATTGACCGATCGATGTCAGTTATATACGGATTTCTTTCATATCCCTGCACCATTTCATAAGCTGTAACATCGTAAACTATATGATCCTTTTCTATTATGTTATCTGTCACAAAAATGTAATTGAAATGCAGTGATGCCTTTTAGTCTCTCCAGGATAATTGCACATTCACGTTATGAGAATTCTGTGGGTATAGAGTTTTTAGATGTTGGTGTTTCAGGTGTTAGTTTATGGCATTAAATGCCTCCTGAACTATGAGACTCATGGTTGTGTTAGTGTGTTTACTGTCTACCACTTTCATTATTTTGTAACTCAACGGTTATGAGTGTTCTAGACACTAAATACTTCATGTCTGGCAATTAATATTGCTGAGCGTTTAAACTACCGATAAAACTAGACTGTCATGGGTAAATTACTAATTAAAAGTGTCTAAATCAGTATTTTAGATTCTCACTGACTTATCTTGACATTAGATTGTAATATGGTTTCTGTCAGTTGAGTGTCATCTAGTTGTGACAACGGTTTGTGTGTAATAACTGGGTGTTGTGAATTTCATAAACATTAACTGTGGTCAACAACAGACTTTTGTAGTAGATATTACCTGAAACCCTTTCAGATTATGAATACTATGTACTAATTGTACCTTTTTCTTGACTTTCAAGGCAACGAGAATCTCTTTTGTTGCTTACCTCAGACCCACTTCCATATTTTTTCCTGTGTATTCAGTTAAGTATTTGTCGAAATCACTGATGACCTCCAACATAAATCATACGAATGAACAACTTCCTTGTACAGAAAATCACTCGGAGTTAAAAGAAGTTTTGAAACCGTGCGGTAAACTTCCGCCGACAAACGACATACAATTGGATCGATCTTACTTTAAACGTAAAGTCCCAATGATATTCGTCGGTATTCATTGTGATAAACATGTCAAGACGTCTTTAGAGAAATTGAGACCATTTTTCTGTCCTTTTATCCGACTACCTAAAATATCTAAAACTTAGTAAGTTTCCTAGTATAATGTTTAGATTGTTATCGTCAACACAACTCATTTCATGTTTATACTGAATTGTTTAACTCTTAGAAAGTATCTGCTTGATTAGAAATTCATCTCTCTTTGGTTGCTTATTACCAAACTCCACAGGCGTATATGTGGATTTTGACAATAACCAATGCAATGTTTTTAATGGTTAGCTACAATTGTAGCGGCGTATGGTAGTTCTATATTTTGAATTATATGAATTTCAAAGATTATAGCTAGTGTAGTTCTACCTATAGTAATAGGAAAAACCTGACTCCAATCATTTAGTGGCGTGAAAGTAATATATTTCTGAGGTATTTTGAAAACGACTTCAATTTGTCTCACGAAACGACTTTACATCCCATACATCAAAGTTGTATATATCCTCACTCTATCTCGAACAGAATAACAGATCTCGTCAGCCGGGATGTGCACTAAACACATGCTGTACGACTAAAGCAGTCGTACAAAACCTGTGAGTTTATTCATACAAAATTGTCTTGTTAGTTTGATGAATTTAAGCGATCCAACATTTGATATGTAGTTGAGTCTAAGGGCAGATAAGTGACTTCTGTACTGAACCTTTGTCGATAGTTCCCAACACTATTCGGCTGAATAGTATTGTGGTGTGTGCTACTGATGTCGACAGATATAAGTAGTACGTATCATCAATCGAAAGTGAAATGCCTGGATGCAGAAAGTTAAGAAGATCAAAGAAAAGAGAACGGGGACAAAGAATGGTTGGTGTGGAGACGAAAGAACAATCAAGTCTGAGACGATTGTCTGAAGTGTTTGTTGTATGATTCTCCGATTTTACTAAGATGTTCTGTAATTTTGTATTCAAATACATTCGATTGTCCCACTTGTGTTCTCGTTCACTACAGTATTATGACAACTCAGAAGTGTCGTAATTTGTATGCACATTTCTACTGACTGCGGTTGAGACAAATTAGAAGCTAAGTTCCTTCAAAACCTCGTTGACCTTTTTGTAACTTATTGCTCTGCCTGTTGAATTTTCGTTCACTCATCTGCACTGATACAAGTGTGTTGGTTAACACATAAATCGTTTACATCTAGAACATGTTTTGAATTAAAAATTTCTTCTGCTACCAGAAACGACGGCAACCATACCTCTGATAAGTCAGTTCTAGTCAGTAATTAATTAACTGGTGTTTACATCTTAAAAGTGAATTCTAAACTGTTTCTTCAATACACGATGATAGGTGTAGAGTTTATTCAACTCAACATTTTACAGAGTCTACCTGGTCAGATTGGAGGATAAAGCGGTTTTGAGTTGCTTTAATAGATGTGACTATTTTTAATTTAAATTGGCATAACTTATCTGTAAGTGTAGTAAATAATTATTTTATACAGAAAATGTTAAGTATTTTCAGTTAGATTTTTTAGAGAATTATATCAATCCTGTTTACATCTAAGTTTTACTTCGTCTATTTGCTCGGAACGTACAGATTTATTCTATTTTTGTAGCGCATCGACCTTCAAATTCAGCTTAACAGTGCTTTTCTTTCAGTTGTGCAACTGTTAACAGTAAGTAATGTATTCGTACCAATCTACACAATTCTCAATTTATTCGAAATTATCAAGTCAAACCTTGGTAACGATATTTGTTAACAGTAAAGTATCCATACACGTCGCCTCGCCAGTGAAACAGTCATCAGATTACCGATTTCCAGATTAAATGTATTGTTTTAAATCTAGGTGAAATATTGGTAAAAAGGATTGAACCCATGTTACCAAAAATATTTCAATTTACTATCAGTTTCACGGTGAGTTTGTAGCTGTTGCATTTAGCTTTAGGTAGACTATTCTATCAAGTAGTATCTGTAGGATCCAAACTACGGTTTGGATGTTGAAGAATAGCCTTCCGGGGACTTTAGACACGCGCCCTTTCCTGTCGATTCAGAACAAGTAATCGGGTAATTAGCGGTTCAAACAAATATTATCACCCGGCTATTCAACCAATGATTGTTCAATCAATTAAATCAATCACAACAAATGAACGTTATTCTATCCTGACTGTATAGATCACACACAACAGGAGGAACAAATCAATATGGCTACCGCCAAGAACAAGTGTCAAGTAAAACAACGCAGATGCAGTTCAGGAAGAAACACAAACTTAGTGAATGCGTAATAAAAACAAAAACTATAACAAAAATACGAATATTAACAATTCAAATGTAATCAAAATACAACAATGTACAACTAATGCGATCAATAGGAATAAAGTACAAGTATATACATGGAGGGATTTTCACCAACACATAAAACCTTCAAAATGGATCTTACAGTATCATCCTAAAAAAATATCTACTAATCTGATGGTATGCGGTTTGGTATCGATTGAGATATATAAATGGTCAGAGACATTCAGTAGCTTAAAACAGGTTTCTGTAACATATATTGATTTCATGGTTATCTATTACTACAATTTGATAAATTTTCTATTCTAATCTAATATATCCCGCCCAGATTCTGCTTCTTCGGGATCTCTCGATTTCCCTTAGTGTTTTGCTAAGGGAAATGTCAACTTAGAATAATTACTTCTAAGAAGATGATGATGTCACAGGTATTCAGTGTTTGACAACGCTTCTACCAGTAACACCTTCTAATATATTTCGTTCCCGCCCAGAGAAATCAAAAGACAGAGTCGAGGAGATCGGAAGAGTATATTTGGCGATGACCAATATATCGGAATTCTCTGATCTAATCTGGCTAGCGATTGCGGTTGATGTTGAGCACGGCGTTACCACACGTGATCTGGTGCGGATGCCTGACCGAGCGCCTTCAGCTAGGTGAGTCCACTAAAACATATGGTCAGCATCCAATGTCGAAAACTTAGTGCTATTTATTTTAGGGATTTATTTACCGCTACAGATCACTCCCCCCCTAGTGGGGCAGTGACGACCCTAAGACGTGGCCAGCCAGAAGTTTAAACCCAACGAGTTTGTCGTTGGTAAACACTCTTCTGATAGCTTACTAAATTTAGCAGCGTCTGGTCGTCTTTCCTTACTATATGGGACGGAGGTACAACATAGTAAAAAAGGAAAATGTACAATGAAAATTTCGGATCCTCATAAACGTCATCGTTCCTTTTCCAGCCGTCCTGGAAAAGAAAAAAGAAAATGTAAGTGCATGTCGATATACACTCGTATGTGCGTAAAAACACAATGTCGGCGGAGAAAAAATGGAAAATAAACTCGTGAACATGTAATAGCATTAAAAAAATTGTTTTTTTTGTTTTGTATTTTTTTAAATAGAAATAAAAATATATAAGCATATTAGAATTGTTTTTTTTAAAAAAATAATATAAAATGTCGAGAAGTGCCTTACGTGCAATAGTCGTTTAAATGTTCTGGAAATCTCACCCTTCATCCAGAACGCGTCGTTTTAAGTTTATTTTCGGATACTGTCGAAGTATCATCGTGTGTGTTGGTTGTCGGATGAGGTATTATAAGTGTCGGAGTCGTGTCGTTCGATTGTACCGAAGGAAAATCCACGTAGACAAGATTTCCTTCCAAATACGCTGCTTTTAAGCGATCGATGCTGATGCTATCGTTGGTTCCGTTCTTATCGACTATATAGTACTTAGATTCACGTTGAAGAACTTTGAAAGGTCCTTCATATGCTGATTCGAATGGTCGTCGATGCGAGTCTCGACGAACGAAAACGTGTATACTATATCGTAAGTCAGGTTGAACGAAAACATCAGTTGATTGAGGTCGAGTGGAAGCAGGTTTAACTGAACGCATTGCATTTGTAGGCCTGTTCGTGTAGGAGGTTAGATCCATGTTCATTGAAGAGGACGAAGGATCCACGAATTCTCCTGGAAGTCGAAGTGTCGTTCCATAAACGAGTTGAGATGCAGTGTATCCAATTTCAGCTTTCACTGCATTGCGAATACCTGGTAAGACGAGTGGAAGAGCGTCGGTCCACTGTGAAACGTTTGCAGCTGATAGTGAAGCTTTTAGTTGTCGGTGAAAACGTTCTACCAACCCGTTTGCTTGTGGATGGTAGGCAGTCGTTCGGAAGCGAGTGATTCCTAAAAGTGTGGTCAGACGACGGAAAAGATCAGATTCAAACTGACGTCCGCGGTCTGTAGTGATGGTTGAAGGGCAGCCGAAGTTTGCTACCCATCGTCCGACGAAGGCGCGGGCCACTGTTTCAGCAATAATGTCCTTGATAGGTACTGCTTCTAGCCATCAAGTGAAACAGTCAACGCATGTTAAGAGATAAGAGAATCCATTTGAATCTGGTACAGGTCCTACCAAATCCAGATGAACATGGTCGAAACGAGCATCGGGAGTTTTAAACGACCCTAAGGGACATTTATTGTGTCTGATAACCTTAGATTTTTGGCAGCTTACACAGGAGCGTGCCCACTCCCTCACGTCTTTATTCATTCCAGGCCAGCAAAACCTTTCTGCTATAAGCTTGATGGTTTCGTGAACACCTGGATGAGAAAGATTGTGCAAAGTATTGAAGACGTTGTGTCGATAATGTTTCGGCACGATTGGACGATCCCTACCTGTAGATGTGTCACAAAGTAAGGTTTCCTTACCTGTTCCCATCTGTTTGATGCGTAGTTTAAGTGTTGTGGACGATAACTCGTGCTGAAGATCACTGTCTTCTTTTTGAAGCTGGGCGAGTTTAAGAAGGTCGATTCCCTGGAAACTGTTCAAGGAAGTTATGCGAGATAAAGCGTCTGCAACTACATTGTTTGCTCCAGAGATGTGTTGAATGTCTGAAGTAAACTGCGAAATGTAGTCCAGTTGTCGAGACTCACGGGGAGAGTACTTGTCAGAAGGAGAGCTTAACGAGAAAGTGAGCGGTTTATGGTCCGTGAAAAGAGTGAATTCACGGCCTTCGATATAGTGTTGGAAATGCCGTACAGCACAATACATAGCTAGGAGTTCCCTACCGAATGTGCTGTACCTCGATTCGGTGTCTAGCAACCTTCTAGAGAAAAATGCTAAGGGTGGCCATGAGTTGTTAACCCATTGCTGTAGGACTCCTCCGATTGCCGAGTCAGATGCGTCTACTGCGATACTAATGGGTGCTCGGGTGTCCTGATGTGCGAGCATTGTTGCTTTAGCAATCAGTTCCTTAACTGTGGAGAATGCTTTTCGTACGGTGTCGTCCAAATTAATGGATTTCGCATTTCCACGAAGTTGGTCGGTCAGAGGTTTCATAAGTAATGCGCATTTCGGTATGAAACGTCTATAGAAACTTACGAGGCTGTTAAACGTTCGTAATTGCTTGACGGTGGTCGGTTCTGGGTAATCCAGAATGGCCGCCACTTTGGTCCTAAGAGATCGAATGCCTTGAGCGTCGATAGTGTGTCCTAGGAAGTCTAATGAGTCGGTTCCGAATTGGCATTTCTGAACGTTTACAGTTATGCCATGTTTTTGTAGTCGTTCGAAAACTAGATCCAGATGCTTGAGATGTGTTTCTCTGTCCGGACTTGCGATTAGACAGTCGTCAACATATGCATGTACGAAGTTGAGACCTCGGAAAACGTCGTCTATGAATCTTTGGAATGTTTGAGCAGCATTTCGTAGACCGAAAGGCATTCGCGAAAATTCATAGAGTCCGAAGGGGGTTATGATAGCTGTTTTCGGTATGTCGTCAGTAGCCATAGGTATTTGGTTATACGCTTTAACCAAATCGATTTTCGAAAAGACAGTTGTACCTTTCAAGGTAGCTGTCAAATCGTGAATGTGAGGCAACGGGTAACGATCGGGAATGGTTTTCGCGTTCAATCGCCGATAGTCACCAGTTGGACGCCAATCGTTGCTGTCCTTTTTAGGGACCATGTGCAACGGAGATGCATATGGGCTACTTGACGGTCGTATGATTCCTAAGTTCATCATGTGATCGAATTCGTTTTTCGCTAACCTTAGCTTTTCAGGAGCTAGTCGTCGTGCTTTAGAAAATACAGGTGGTCCTGTAGTCGTGATGTGATGTGTAACGTTGCTGGTTACACACGGTAGTTTCGGTTGAGTTTGTTGTATCCCAGGGTACTTATCGAGTAGTGGCTGATAAAGTGGGTCGATCATATGCTTAACTGTGACTGGGGATAATCTGCAACCAGAAAAGGAAGTTACGCAAACGGACAAATTAGTGTTTCCGTTTACTAGCCTCCGTTTGCGCGTGCCGATGATCAGATTGTGGTGTTGTAGAAGGTCCATACCAATGACTGACATAGAAACATATGCAACAACGAAAATCCAGTGGATGGGTTTGCGTAAACCCACGTTAAAATAAACGTACCTTTTGCCATACGTAGCGATCGGTTTTCCGTTTGCCGCCTGTAAGTTTAGGGTCGATTCGTGTAGTCGGTCGTTAGGATTTGCTGGGAGAACGCTAACTTCTGCGCCAGTGTCGACGAGGTAGCGAACTCTCGTTGTCACATCTGTGACGAATAACAGACGGCTTTGTTCGACGGCTACGGTTGCCGTTAACGCGTGCCGGCTAGGAAGTTTCCCGAATTGCTTTTCGAATCAGTCGGTTTCGTGTTGGGAAAATTGCAGGGTTTTCTGCAATTTTTGGAAAGTTTTCCATACTGGTTATAATACCAGCACCAGTCGGGGTTATCTGTCTCTCGTGGTCTAGAGACAGATCGCTTACGAGAAATGCTTCTACGTGGTGTGCGCGATCTCTTACGGTCGGTACGAAGACTAAGATAACGCGTGAGTGTGTGACATAAGTCGGTTATATCATTCTGAGTCGTGTGAGGCTTTTCTTTGACTGAAAATACCTCGGTAGTAGGTTTCGTAATTTCTAGAATGCGGTCGGCAGATGCAGCTAGCTCGTTTAAGGCGTTGTTCAGGAACGAGACCAGAACTGCTTGCACCTGTTGTGGAAGTTTTGACAAGAAGAGTTGTTTGAATAGGTCTTCGTCGAAAGTTCTTGGGCCTATTACCTCTCTCATTCGTTGCAACATGTCCGTCGCAGAACCGTGTTGCAGGTCGATGTTATTGAAGAGTTGATCTAACCTTTGTCGATCGGTTAGATATCCTCGTTTAAGAATCGAGCGTTTTAGGATTTCGTAAGGATCGGAAACATCACTCATAAACACACTAGGTGTTACGTACCTGTTGAATTCGCGCGGTAGTGCCTTGACTACTGCGAGGAATTGTGCACGTGTGTCGATAACGCCGTGCTCGGAGAAGTCGGCTTCTGCGTAGCAAAACCAAGCTTCGATGTTGTCGGGCCAGAAAGGCATCAGTTGAAACGAAGGCGAGGACAAAGTCTTAAGCTTGAGTACTTTAGGTGTCTGTTCAGTCATGATGAAGTATGAAGTACGATAATGAACGAGAGGAAAAAATACATATATCCAAGGAAAAACACGAAAAAAAATCACGATGTTTAAAAAAAAATAAAAAAATAAGGCAATGATATATAAAAATCCCAAAAAGGAACAGACTCACAGTTGCAATTAGGTGCACCAGATCACGTCAGTCTCACCAATGATGATGTCACAGGTATTCAGTTTTTGATAACGCTTCTACCAGTAACACCTTCTAATATATTTCGTTCCCGCCCAGAGAAATCAAAAGACAGAGTCGAGGAGATCGGAAGAGTATATTTGGCGATGACCAATATATCGGAATTCTCTGATCTAATCTGGCTAGCGATTGCGGTTGATGTTGAGCACGGCGTTACCACACGTGATCTGGTGCGGATGCCTGACCGAGCGCCTTCAGCTAGGTGAGTCCACTAAAACATATGGTCAGCATCCAATGTCGAAAACTTAGTGCTATTTATTTTAGGGATTTATTTACCGCTACAAAGATATTCTGACTACGCTCAATATACTCTTTTAAGTTTTTCAATCTTTGTGATAAGTGTTTTTGGGCACCACATAAAGCCTCCTACTCATTAAGTGTTATGTTATCATAATTTATTTCTCCTGAAATAGTTTATTCATTCTTAATAGTTCATTTTCTATCTTTACAAAAAATCACTTTCAGCCGAGATTCAAATGGATCGTTGCGTAAATTGATGCTGGTTCAAATGCCTGAACCTGATAAAATCTTACAGTTTATAACTGATTTGAATCAGTGGAACGTTGATTTACCTAAAGATTACGCAAATCTTCAACCAGTCGATTTATCTGTACCGAAATTGCCCGAATGTCTAAACGATTTGAAAGCTGAAGATTCATTAAACGATGAAGCATTTAAAAAAGTTAGTGTTGTAGAAGAAGAGATAAATATGTTGGAAAATATTGTCACCTCACCATGTCTCGTGAATATGTCGATCGGTTATGAAAATTTCACATTCGAACAAGTTATCAAGGAATTGTTGCCTGATTTCATCTTGCCTATTACTGGGTTTACTATAATTGGTCACGTTATACAATTTAACCTCAAAACTGAAGCGTTACCCTACCGTCATATTATTGGTGAGTGACGTGATGTCTTTACTTTTTCAAAAAACTAGTTGCTCTTTCGAAGTTTCAGTAAAACCTCACTTACCGGGCATAAATCCCGCTTCTGCACTTAAGATAGTCGTTTGCTGGCATTATTGAGGCATGGGTCTGCCGTGAAACCGTTCTCTTGATCCCTATGTTGTTTGGAGATCGATGAACTTAGTTTCCGTATGTTTGTAACAAGCTGTATTTTCAATCTATGGTTCTTATTAAGTATCTAGTGTGTTTTTATTTTATTTTTACAGGTAATTACCGGTACCATTGTGCACCGAAATAAGTATGTCCTGCATAATTCAAGGGATATATAAGAGGGGAAAGGGAAGTTCTATCAGAAAATACAATTAAAACAAATGAGTAAACAAGAATATCATATAACACCAGATACATTTCAGCTAAAAGTGTGCTCAAGAAAGACTTCTTTTAGTCAAAAGAGGTCCTCTTGTAGAACTACGGTCTACTATGATATTAGTACTGCTCTAATAATAGACTTAATCCTAAATTTTTAGATTTGTCATGATATAACTGCCTAACCTATAAGATCTTACGTGGAAGTCACACTATCGACTACACCAACTCACTGTATCGTATCAATTACCAATACATGATGTAGAACAAGGTTAGGTTAGAGAAGGAACAATATATTTAATATGAATAGAAGATATAAGGTAACATTCAGATGGACCACGCCTGCATGGTCGAGCCATGCCATCCGATCAACTCCAATCCATTCAATTCATCCTTCGCGCCTTCTCCATTGTTAGGTATTTTTCCGTGTTAAATATTGAATATCTATTTTCTGAGTAGTCTTGTGTTCAGCTTTGAAGATTGTGTGGTTATGGTCCAATGCCACTACACTCTCACTTCTACAAATAATTTAATAACGTAACAACAGAATCGCCGCTGACTCCTATTACAAGCGATGTCTGATAATATCTCAAACAATTGAGTCGCATCATCTCTAGGACCCGACCAAGGAGTCATAGCCGATCGACATTGGAAACTGGATGCTGACCACATTAGTTTTAATGAACTCACCTAGCTGAAGGCGCTCGGCCATGCATCCACACCAGATCATGAGTGAGAACACCGTGCTCAATTTTTCCTGCAAGCGCTAGCCAGTTAAGATCATTCATTTCTCGATATATTGATAGCCTATCAAATATATCTTCGGAGCTCCTCGCTTCTGACTTTTGATTTCTCTGGGCAGGCACGATTCAATCATAGAAGGTGTTATTGATTGAAGTGTTGTCAAACTAGAAATACCTGTGGTATCTGCAGTGTCAGTGTTGATGACTTACTGAACTGTTTATTTTGTGGATTTACTTACCACTACATATTCAAAGAGCAACTAAAGTGGTACTTAGGTTAAAGTGCTAATCCATCTCAGTGCTCTTATATGTTGTGCAGTACGGGTAGATTTTTTGTTACATTATCAGGATGTTTCACACTGCCAACTGTTCTATCCACCCTAATGACCACTAGTATGTTTGAGTAATTGGTTACGTATAGGAGGAAATCCATTAAGGACAGAACATCTAAGGGTCTCACAGAAATCCGCACGGATGGTTTTGCGGTTCTAATAAGCAAGTTATGAAACTCATTAGTGGGACCTATTGAGATGAAACGTTTGGCTGAATACCTAAAAGGGATGCTCGAGGATTATGTATGTTTTTTGGTTATTAATGGAGAATAATCCAAGTGTTATGCCCATCAGTTTTGTTTTCAACTCGATTTTCATGGCTTTCACATTCCAGAAAGCATATATTACGAATGATGCATAGTACGACAAGAATGAACTCGAAATACGAAGAAATAGAACCCAAAGGTATAAACATTCCACTACTTTTGCAAAGCAGTGATCAACTTACTGTCATCATTCTCGGATACTTGATTTCAACCAAAACTTTTTGGTGCAGTTTTACTAGGCTAATCTAAAGATTTCAGATTGCGCGCTTCCCGATGTCGTGACTGTAAGTACTTGTAAATAGTACGAATAATTAAAAATATACCTTTCAAAAGAGTTAGTTATTTCAAGATGAAATAAGTTTCTATTACACAAGCAACCAGACTTGGATGAGTTTAGAGGAAAAAGTGCATGCAACTAGGCGACTTGGACTATGCAGATGACATATAGGTCATCAGCTATAGCTTTTCTATCCCCGTACACCAACAAATGCAGGTGAGGACAGTCAGTGTAGCAACAACACCTGTCTGTAGCATTAGGGCTCAAAACAGGGAAAAGGCAAGATCCTGAAACAAAACACGGGGAACACTGATTCAGTCACACTTGAAGAATTGAAGAAACAAGGGGTAAAATTCCTACATTTGAAGAGCATATAGAACTCAAAAACAGCTGTCAAATTACATCAGTCAGAATCTTCATTACCAACGTCAATACAGTTCTACTGTACGGAGCTGAGAATTCAGTCTTCAGTAATAAGGATAGGAGGTCTGTCGACCTATATTAATCCTTGCAGTTTGTAATACTGTGGAGGTCCAATCTCGTTTTGAATATATTAACAGACGGTGCTGATATTACGTGTTCTGGTAGGGAAGTCCAGTAATTCACTACTCGGTGCGAGAAACGGAACTCCAGACGTAAACGGTTTGATCTCGGTTTTTGAACTTTCTTCGAATATCCTCTCAAATGATCGGTTCTAGACGGAAGCAAAAGATAAGACATGTTAATACCAAGGTCATCGTTCAGTATACGATAAGCCAATATTAGATCACCCCATACTCTACGGTAAGATAACGGAAATAAGTTAAGGTGTCTCAGTCTGTCTTCATAAGATAGGCCAGCTAGACCTTGTACCATCTTAGTAGCTCGTCGTTGGACTCTTTCTAGCATATCTGCTTTATATTTGAAACAAGGACTCGCTGCTTGAATCCCATATTTTAAATGTGGTCGCACATAAATCGGGTATAATAATTTAAACATTTCGTCATTTAAATACTGAAAAGACCTACGAATAGACCATAATACCCTATAGCCTTTTGCAGCAGCAGCCTTACAGTGACTAGTGGTTTTAAGACCACTGTTTAATATGACTCCTAAATCTTTATAGTTTACTTTGGGTAGTACGAATCCACATATTGTTGTGATACGATTCATCATAATTATTTAATTGCATCACCACACTCTTATTAGGATTTACTTCTAGTGACCACCTGTCCAACCTACTGTGGAAGAGAACAAACCAGCTTCCAGCTCAGTCAGCTGCAAAGTAAGACCAGGCATATATACTCATTGGTCCAAGTTGCCACACCTCATTAGCACAACACGATAAACACCAAACTCCATCTGATGGAATTACGAGAAGACGCTGGATGTGGACAGGATATTTATTAAGAAAATTATCAAACTGCATCACGAGGCAAGCGTTAGTTTGGGATCCTGAAGGGAAAAGGAAAATCAGAAGACCAAAAAAGGCACTGTACTGGAAACCGGAAGCAGACAACAAAAGAATGAATAGCAACTGGAACCACTTGGAAATAATTGCTCAAGACAGAGTTGGGTGGAGAATGCTGTTGGGGGACCTGTGTTCCTCGACAAGTGTAAGCAGTTATAAGGTTACTTGTGGCGGGGGTTAGATATCCTCCTGCCAACCAAAGGGCGAGTTGAATGTGCAGTAGTTTGTACTGTCCTAATTCATGAGTGCGAAACACGGGCATTGCGTATGCAGGTTATTGGCAGGTTACCTGTATGCGTTCGTAGGTGCCTTCAAAACACTGCTCGTGTAATTCGGGATCACCTTGTTAGCAGTGCTTTCGTTTGGAAGAGTGTGTTGGGTAAAGATGACAAATCGATTGGTGAGTTGGTAAATATTCGTCGATTGAGATGGTTGGGACATGTGATACCCATACCCACCTACCGCCCACGTCGACGGGCGATATGTAGTGTGGGAGTAGTTTGCAAGATAGCTAGAGGCTGCCAAACAAAAACGATGCAATTAGACAATTAGATTAGACCATGTTGACGTGGATGGACTGCCTTGCTGGAGTCGGCGTGTTTATCGTTACTAGTGGTTGGAGACTGAATAATGTATCAATTTCACAGGTTAGTCCACTACTTGACTTCATCTAGGTCCCAAGCTTCTAAATCTAAAATATCTTTATTTTATCAATCTATTTATTTATTATTACGATTTTATTTGAACACAAATATTAGTACAAGGGGGCACCAGATATATATATATATATATATATATATATATATATATATATATATACGCCACACAATGACAATGGGAATGGGATGAGAAGAAGAATGTAAGGTGCATATAAAAGAGAAGAATGGAAAAAAAGAGAACGTACTAGCTAGCACTAGGCTAATATATGTATTTTAAAAACTCCATATACATATATATATCCCAAACATAGTTTGATAAGTCCAAACCAGAAAGAAAATTGTGGATGTGATACAGATTTATTTATTTATTTATATGAACACATAAATATTGGTACAAGAGGGCACCAAATATATATGCGCCACATAAAGCAATGAGAATTCGAAGAGAAAAAAAAGAATAACGAACAGATTAGTGTAAGTGGATTCCAGATCAGTTTATTTCATTTGTATGGCTTAACGTGCCTACTCATTGTAAATCTTCCCCAGAGATCTATATTCTCTCAAAATCACCCATCGGACTTACATTGCTTGCTCTGGTACTTCTGCATCACATGTGAGAGCAGTTCTGCTCTCTGCTTGTGAAACCTGGCCTCTCCGAGTTCATGATGCTAGATGAATCCATGTGTTTGATTGTCGTCGTCTCCGAAGGATTGCTGACATCCAATGGCAACACCGTGCTAGTAATGCAGATATTCGGCATCGTGTGTTCGGGCACAGAGATGATAATGCAATTGGTGTCACCATCTTGAAACATCGACTTCGGTGGCTTGGACATGCTCTACGAATGTCGTCTCAGAGAATTCCACGTCGTGCATTACTTGCCGACTCTGGGACTGGTTGGAAAAAGCGGAGAGGTGGTCAGTGTATGACATGGTGTCGTGGTATGAAAGAAAGCTGCAAAGGACTGGCTTCTGTTGGTCCTTCACGACTCCCTGGTTGAGGTCCTAGAGATGGTGCAACACAGTGGCTAGAGACGTTATCAGATATGGCTCAGAATAGAAGACAGTGGCGATCCTGCTGTAACCTTCTTTTTACTTTCTTAATTAAAAGTGGTTGTTTCTTCCTTAACTGAAAGATTTCTTCTGATTGTACCTTTCCGTTTCCCCATTATTATTATTACACTACTTACACTAGTCTGTTCGTTATTCTTTTTTTCTCTCTTCGAATTCTCATTGCTTTGTGTGGCGCATATATATTTGGTGCCCTCTTGTACCAATATTTATGTGTTCATATAAATAAATAAATAAATCTGTATCACATCCACAATTTTCTTTCTGGTTTGGACTTATCAAACTATGTTTGGGATATATATATGTATATGGAGTTTTTAAAATACATATATTAGCCTAGTGTTAGCTAGTACGATCTTAAGGGCTTTGATGATAGTGCTGATAAAAACTCAACTTTGTGTTCTGTAATCAATTAAGTTCCCTTTTAATTATTTTGATACGCAACAGAGTATAGTCACTTTCAAAATGTGCCTTACCGTTACAGGTAAACTCAGAAGTGAATGTCGTGGAATGGGGGATCTTAACCTTCTAAAACCATATGCCGTTTTTGAACAACTATTTGAGCAGAAGATTAGAATAGAAGACAGGGATTGTCTCGAGTTTGCTGATATAAACGTCGCTGCTGGTGTCTTAACCTCGTGTCATGGTTCAGCTCTTGTCAAAGTCGGAAAAACTCAGGTGATTGCAGGTGTAAAGGTACATTGTGGGTTTTTGATCTCAACAATTATAGGTCAAGGTAATTCCTGAAAGCGGAAACTCAGGCAACATAACCTGCAATGTCGAGTTTGCTGGTCTCTGTCATAGAGGTTCACGTTTAAATGCTCCACAACCTAAGTATGCTCAGTGGCTGTCTTCTACAATCCAAAGACTCCTGAATAATTTTGCATTCCCATCTATTGAAAACCAGCTAAACATATTCTCAATAAATGACCCAGACACACTTACACCGGTAGCTTCCTACACTTTGAAGCTCGATGTCTTCATCCTTCATGACGATGGGTGCTTACTAGATGCTTGTGTCCCCGCTGCACTTGTTAGTCTTTGTACAACAAAGTGGACAAAGTTATACGCGGTTACGGATGAACAAGCTGCGGGATCCTATTTAGAATTATATAAACCAGGACCACGAAATGAGACAAAATCCCTAAAAATGAATGAATGGCCTGTTTCACTGTCTTTCTGCTTCGTTCCTCGCCCGGTTGCTGATAGAAAGTCAAAGACAGTTCCTATTATTGCCCAACCAACGAAACGAGAGTTAGATATTTGGGATACGGATGCTGGTCCAGTACACATAACTGTTTCTCAGGGTGCTGTCGTCGATCTTTCTGTGGTCAGTGCATTTTTAACGGGTCTTTGGGACAGTTTATTTGTAACGAGTGCAAATGAAAGTGATGTAGTCAACTCATGGGAAGTTTTGTTTGATTCTGCCGTTTCTCACGCTCAGAAAGTTCTACAGATAATCCAAAAGGCAGTAAACTAGTTTGTATAGTTCACGACAATTGTAAGAAAAGTGTTTTCATTTTTGATTCTTTGTAAAACTGTATTGTTTAATTGATTAATTGAATTTCTACGTAGATTTTAGATTTGATGGTATATTCTTCATAAATCTTAATTATTTACACTACAACGTTTCACAGTGCAAACATGAGACTTTAAAATTCAATGATTTTTAAAAAACTTAAGAAAGTTCTCTTGGTCAGTGAGACCGTTTACCTGGTTGTAGATATCCAGGACGAAATAAAATTCACAATATCAGATATTTGTCTCTCGTATACTCAAAAGGGGTATATATTGTTGACATCAAGTATAACTTAAGTTATTCCAGACGGGATTTTATTTTCAATTTATCTCAACTTTTATGATACCGACATTTTCAACGCTTTAATTTTGTTTAAGTATCATACGTCAAGAATGTAGTTGTATATGAACACAATTCTTGTCTTCAAATTGTTCACAATTCATATTAAGTGTATCAATGTCAAGGTAGAGGAAATTTTGTCTGTGTGATGCCTTTTTGACTTTTGATTCTGTCGTGTAAATATTTAGATTTTCACCATCAATTTGTTTTGTTGATTAATGTAGCTGCACCAGACACGATTTAGACGATCAGAGAATTTAAAAAACCCTGACTGATTAAGCATAGTTTGTGGCCTTGTGGATAAACACTGAAAGTAATCAAGAACTAATACGTGAAAGCATTTCAGTAATTTCTATCTGCGACTGTAGTAACTGAATTAATAGTGAGTTCTACCTATCCGTAGTAACTGGTATTTAAAAAACCGATACCCCATTCTCGTTGTCACTGTTATGGAGGAAGTTTTTGATGATCTAATGAAACGAAATTTTTGACTGTTAATATTAATAAATAGAATGCTAATCGGGAAATAAACACAGTGATATGATGTAGTTGAGTAATGGCTACTCACAAGACCGTATTATTGACTTAGACCTTTGAATGCTCATAAATCAACGATAAGACCACTAGACAGACTAGTGCTTTTTTCATGTGATGAAATGACATGCTAATATACGTATTAATAATTGAATATCAAATGGTTATTCACTCATTACTGACTGTTAAGCCTGGTTTTTGCTTATCGTATCACATATGTGGTTGTGTCAAGCCAGTCATATTTAACTTCAGTCATTAAGTAAGATATTCTTTGACAATAATTTCGTTTGCCTTAACTAATAACAGTTTTACTACTGTTAGCAGTTACTATAATGATGGTCTGTTGAACATGTTTATTTGTCGTCTTTCTGTTCTTTATGTTACTTAAAGAGTAATTGGGAAAGAGGATTTAATGGTGATTAGCTCACAATATAGAAAACTTTCTCCATCGGTTGCTATAGATTAGTAAATTTTCACCATGGTTTGGGATGTCGCAAAAGTGGCAGGAATTGTTGTATGCTAACATCAAGGGAATAAAATTGACTAACATCATCTCTAATTACTCGCGATCCGTAATGTTAGGACGTTTATCTAAAGCTTATTTTAAACCTTGTGGAACCAACCAGCTTCTAAAAAGCTGTAAGGTATTTATTAGTATAATCTCTAAGTTTATGCATAACTCATTTCAACACCAAATTGTCTCTAGACGTAGATGAGATTTTACTCTCTGTTCAGATATCATGGCAATTTTTTACTAACAGTCATCCTAATTTTTATTTACTATTGCTTTATAATAAAAAGAACTCGGTTTTATAAAACAGACAATATGGCGCCGCGAAACAAAACGGTAGTGTTTCGAAGAGTTAGTGACAAAGAATAAGTATTATGAACCAAGATAAGAGGAAAATAATAAAAGGTACAATAGGATCAACAATGGGTTCCATTCTGTTGAAATATCGGGTCACTGACTTGCACGATGTTTAAGTGGCATGCTTTATATCAAGACAAAGAGAAAGGACATTGACAAAATGAGGCATAGAACAAAGTATGACACCCAATATCGCAAATAGCTAAGCCTAATAAGTCCATTTAAAACGAAGCACAAAATCAATGGATTAAATTGGAAAACAAAAGGTGTGTACTGAAAAGAGAACAACTATATGTAGCCCATTACAGCTGATTTTGAGTCATTTCACCCAACATCCATGTATGATGCGCGTTTTAACCTACATATCTTTCTTTTTCAAAATAAGATCATATGAATATTTATCTCGTGCAAATACATCTATAAGAAGATTTTGTTTTGTGCAGTGATGTTTTATTTCATACAGATTGATAGTTATCTGATTTTATTTATATGAAAATTCTTCATCGAAACAAGTAATGTTCTCAAAACGGCTCTGTGTTCACTATAACTAGTTCGGGAATTTTCAACTTTTGATGATGGCATTGTTCAGTGAATGTCAGTCAAATGTGTTTCATTGTGCGTAACACTATCTTTTCTAAAAAAATTTCAGCCTTACTACTTTTTTTGTATGGTATACAATAAATTTGTTAATCTCACTGTAAGAAAATAAAACTTATTTAATATTAAAATGAAAATCGTTTTGCTTAGTAAGATAATATCATAATATAATGTATCTTCTGTTATATAGTATCGATGTTACTTTGTTCTGTTGGTGAATTTTCCACCAAAATTTATTAGGTTTCATTCACCATATTCCTATTGAGAAATCCAACTAACACAGTAAGAGTGTTAGCATAATGTAACAGATTTATCTGCAACCGAACCAAAAAGTATCTTACTAATGTAAACCAAATTGGGATTGCAACTTGACGGTTTTATGATATTGGATTAGTGCATAAATTCTGGCGAATGCACTAAGATTTCTTATCGCAATCGTTAGAGACTTTCCTGAGGGTTGATATATAACCATTTTAATCCGATCTTGTCAACGAAAGCTGTACTATCTTACATATATTTCCCAGCAGTAACTAGCTTTGTAACATTGTTTACCGCTGACAATCAAAAGACTTATATTTCAATAGTCGGATGTAAACAACTTATGGTTGATTCATTAGTACTTCTCTCATCTGTAATAGATCCGAAGCTTGTTATGAATATCTATCAGATCATATCAAAAACCACGTAAAAGCTTGTACTAGGCCCTGGTACGGCTGAGGGTGTGACGAATCCGTTCTCCTCGAAATGCTCTCACTTGGCCACGCGTATATATTTACTGCCATGGAAGTCCTACTCGCTGCTTTCTTGGGGTGGGTGTTGTTTATGAAATTCAGAGGACGAAAAGCTAATGTTTGGCTCTTTAACCGGGTTGGTAGGTATGGAGGATCCACCTAGAGGAGTCGGAAAACTGTGATCCCAAACCAATATTGCACATGGGCTCCAGGATCCTAAGGAAACAAATGGCGTATGATCCTATTGTTGGTCACTGGCTACTATGGGATTGTGTCTCCTTACGTTGAACCACTGCCTTATAGATCAGACCTCTAGGTCGAAGGCTCCAGATGTGGCTCCCTAAGAGAACCACCTGCTTCGTTTTAGGCACTTGCGCAGTATCACAGCCCTCACACAAATCAGTGTTAACTACCATTGGTCTCATTGTTATTTTGTGGCGCATATGTACTTGGTGCTCCCCTGTACCAATGCTTGTGTGTACGAATGAATAAATTATAGTATATATGAGAGTCTAAAACAAGAACATTCTTGGGTCTTACTACTTATGCTGTAATCAGAGCACCATGAAATGAGTGCTTCACGCACTATATCATCTTTACCAAGTACGAGTCAAGGATTTCCAGTTATAAACACAAGGAAGAGGAAAAACAATGAAGAACTCAAGTATTTCGTTTCCTGCTTTTAACAGAACCAAACGTGCTCATTTGTAGTCACTGATCATTATCTTTGTAGTGTGTTTTGATGGTTTATGTACCAAAAGTATTCTAACTCCCAGTGTAATAACTCAAACACATAGGAGCTTATGTTGAGCTATCATCATAATCGTTAACTTCGAGTGCTATTCTATTTGATGAAAACACTTAGATATGTGATTTCCTTAAGTTTTTATTTAATTGCGAAGTTTCGTTTTAGAAGTGGTCTGCATGTAGAAGGCTAGCTAAATTGTGTTAGCAGTTCATGAATTCGTTGACCATTGGTCCAAGGCATATCAGTTATTTCAAACTAGCCTGTGTTAGGATCTGCATAATAATAGTTGTCAGTGGTTGAGATGTCGAGTAACTTGGTTGAGGATCGGTCACAATATTACAGATTTTGAATCCCAATATCTTTTCGAACATACCTTCCCATTCTGCTTTAAATCATATTCCTCAAGTGTAGTCTTCTTTTTGTCGTTATTACTAGGTTGCTTCAATCTCTTGTTATTTTCATATTGTCGCGCTAACCTAATTTGGTAAACTGGACAAAAATACATCTTCCTCTAGATCTTGAGTTCCAGCATTCCTTTATACGTAACTTTCCACCCCTGGAATTATATTCTCGCTGTTTGTTCTTTTTCATTTTGATTGTTATTATAATTATTTCAGCATCCTTGGTACTCGTACGGTTAATTTCGCCTCGTTGTGATGATATGGTGTGGAGACCCGGGCTTCGGACGACAAAACTTAAAATTTTCAGCATTCGGACAGATCTATTCATTATTTGTCTTCATTCTACGAATGTATATTTCCTCGAATAAAATTTATCCCTAATCTTTTCTACGATTACTACTTATATTGTGTTGTTTTGTTGTGATGAAATGTATGATAACTTGGACTGATGAACATATGTCCTAGTCATTACCTTGCGTATGACATTGAATACTTTTACCTGGCTGTTTGTTGATTATAACTGATATAGATCAAGACATTGGTAACAACATAGGCAGTCTTGATCTCAGTCTTCTGAACAAATTTGTTGGCATAACTCGTGCTACTTTATTTTAGTTAGTAGTATGAGTGAAATAGAACATTGTGGTATATTTGATTCATTGTTCACGACAAACATTATAATGTAAAGATTTTTTGGTCAAGTTGAATCAGATTTTTAGGTTCGTCTGCAAATCGAATTATCCACTTACTTAGTCCTGTTGCCCCTCTTAGGACATAAGGGGTCAGAAACAAATCTTCAACTCGTCTTAGGCTCTCCTTTTCAGTTTTCGACAAGTTTTATTCGTCGACTTGGTATATCCCTCCAGTTTCCGACGTCATGTGTTTCTTGGTTTTCCTCCTTTACCTTTATCTTGGGGGTTCCATGTTGGGGCTTGACTTGTGATACGGCTTAGTGGTGTCTGTTAGGTTTGTCTTATTCAACTCTAGTGATTATACTTGATTTTATCCTCATTCGGAACCTTGTTTATTCTGTCAAAGTCAATTATACGGACTAAGTATAATGATGAAAATCTCCGTTTTGTCGAATAAGATCCGACAAGATTTTCTGATCCATGCTAAAAATCAAATCTACCTCCGCAAATTCGAACGTAGTTCATGTTTAATTTTTTAAAACTAGTGTCTCATGTTGATATCACCAGTTAAATAACAGTTAAAACTCCTTTAGTTTACATCCACTTTTTTTTCAAGTATTATAACTACTGAATGCAGGTGTTTCTATGGAGATATCCAAAGGTAAACTCATTAGCCTATCCAGCCTTCACAGCCCAGATATACCAAGCTTCATAGACACTTAATAGAATTACTAGATTCTAGGTGTTATGCCCTCCATCATTTTACAATCAGACTAGCCCCCTCAAGACACTGAAGATGGTTCATACTGGATGAATTTACTTTGGCTTTCACTGTACAGTGATCGCTTTTGTTAGTCATAGTAATCAATGCTTTCTATCTATCGGTTTTCTAAGATTGTTAAAATTGTTGCTTTCAATCCTCTGCATTTCTCGTTAATTTTCCCTTAGCGTAATGTGTCTGATGTTTGATAATATATATCAGATTGAGACATTCTAGATAAAGTAGATGTATATAAGTCTTTCACACTTAGTAATAACTTCCAAAATTACACTTAGTAACTTGTAGTGGAAGAATGGTTACAGTTATCAAAATCCATTATGATATGAAGATTTTATGTGTTGTTGAATTTCCTGTCTAATGAGAATCCTTTTGAAATAGTGCTTTATGTATGCTTTATTCAAAATTTTTGAAATGATTTCAAGTTCAAAGTTGTTATAAAGGATTTTTTGTCTAATTATAAACATATTCCCTGAAGTTCGACATTTAAGTCATCCCAGCTTTTTAAGAGATATATACAATTTCATCCATAAAGTCTTATGATGTATACACATTGAAGTCGATAGATTCGAACCTAGAAGCTTCAGTATTACGGGTTAGAACATTGGTAATGATTTAATCTTGCAACTATTAATCTGGAAATATTACTATTTACTTATAAAAATGAAAGATAATCGCGAATTATGACAATATAGTATCACTCGAATAAACTTATGTTGGGTCCTATCTTAACCATTTATTAGTGAGCACTGGCTAACATATATGGTATGAAATCATGGATATATAATTTTCATATAATATATGTTATTAAATCAAATAATTTAATCGACATTCACTTGTTTTCATTATTTCATATTTCCTTCAATCATCTTTGAATTATCACTATCAAGTTCTTTCTTTGTTACTTTGAAGATTAATTTACGGCAGCGAAACATGGCCATTAAGAGTAGAAGACACTCGTAAGCTACTAGTATTTGACCACAGATGCCTTAAAAATATTGCTGGCGTCTGCTGGGATCGCCGGGTAAGTAATAGTGAGGTTAGACGCAGGGTATTAGAGAATGATGGTAAATCAGTTGATGAGGTTGTGAATCTTCATCGACTGAGATAGTTGGGCCACGTGTTACGTATGCCTGAACACCGATTACCACGACGTTCAATGCTAACCGGTGTTGGAGATGGTTGGAAGAGAATTAGGGGCGGCCAAACCAAAACGTGACATCAGTGCTTGAAGACACTAACCTCTAGTCTGAGCCGTGTTGGTAGATGCAGACTACTTCGTTGGGGTTCGCGTGACTTTCGTAACCACTGGTTGGAGACTTGGTGACATGGCTCAGAATCGACCACAATGGCGTCGGTGTATTCACTCTCTGTCTTCCCCTAAACTATGAGATCAAAATCGCTTCATATCTTTCTTTCTACGAACTAATTCTTCCTGTACTATATCCTTATATGCAATCTTTCTTTTATATATTACCACATATAAATTGACTACTTTTATGAATCCGGTGTTCATCTTGTTGTGTTAATGAGATATGGCAACTTGGACCGATGCATATATGTACCTGGTCCTACGTTGTAGCTGACTGACTCAAATATTAGGATTTTACTTTGATACTTCATCTTAAACAATTCAAATGTTTCCTACTGATTTTGCATATATCCTTACTTAAGTCTTGGTTAAACGAAAAACAATCCAAAAAAGTAGTAATAAGATGAGGTAAGAAAGCTTTTTAATCATTCGATTCTCTTAGGTGAACAATGATTCAATCAATTTATTAATAATATTACATTATACAACAGCAACAAAAAAATACAAACTTTGATAATCATTTACATGACAAAATTAATGAATAATCTGACATTCATTTCCATTTCATGAATGTTGATGATGAATACAAATTAGATGAATTATAATTTACTTTTTGTCAATAAAGTTAATGTTTCTGTCTTGTTTAGTGAGTAGTGTATGTATGCATATATGTGTGTGTATGATTATTCAATTTAACCCATCATATCACGTTGACGTTTAAGTTGACTAACTAAATAATACAATAGAAATAAATAGAACATTACAGTAACCATTATAGTTAATGAAGAGAATTATTAGAAAAATAAAAACAAACAAAACAATATTTCAAATAAAATATGATAAATGTTCATTTCAATATTGTCTTAAATTTTTTTTATAGATTGTTATGTAAACATTACAAATACAGAAAAGTTGCTACTATTTTATTTTTAACACATAGATATTGGTACAATGAGGCACCAAATACATGTGCGCCACACAAATCTCATTCGATATGTGTGGGGGCTGCGATTCTGCCCGGGTGCCCAAACCGAAGCAGGTGGTTTTCTTAGGGAGTCACACTCGGAGCCTTCGACCTAGAGGTCTGATCTATAAGGCAGTGAATCAACGCAAGAAGATACAGTCCCATAGTAGCTAGTGACCAACAATAGGATCATACGCCATTTGTTTCCTTAGAATCCTGGAGCCCATGTGCACTATTGGTTTGGAATCAGGTTAAAGCGACGGACATTCGCTTTTCGTCCTCTCGTTTTCGTAAACGACACCCTCGCCACGAGAAGGCAGCGAGTAGGACTTCCATGGCAGTAAATATATACGCGTGGCCACGTGAGAGCATTTCGAGAAGGAGAGCGGACTCTCCCCACTCGGCCGTACCATGGCATTTTGGGGCAATGTGATGCACGAGCGCGATTTGAAGTGCCGGGTTTCGAACCCGGGTCCCCTCGCATGCAAATAAACAAGTAGACACAATAACTTGATTCACCAAAGACAAAGTAATTAAAATATGTCTTGTTGTCATAAAATTTTTAAAATAGGATTTATTTTAGCAAATGACCTAAAAGTAGTATGTAGTGTTTTTAAAAAAATAATCAGATAAAATAGAACGAGAATCTTTTAGAGTTTCTAATGTTACTTCGAAAATGAATTCATTTTAATTGATCGGAATTAAGTTTAATATATATGTCTTTTTAAGGTATTATTTATGAACCGAATCTCGCAAGGCGGTATTATGGATGTGTACTGCTGAGGAGTCCCATACTAGAACGAAACGGCCGTCCAATGCTTCCAGTGTTTTTATAGTGATCTAGGTTCAATCAACTCATAAATTCAACTATTATTTAAGCACCTACCAACTAAGGTTCATATTGATCGTTTATATTCAAGAAGTATATATACTTTGCATCTCATTTTGTTGCTATTTGGATAAAAAAAGTATTTCAAGACCGAAACTAGGATAACAATAAATGACATGACCTCATAAATGTTTTATTTTAATAACTCTTAAAGTGTCTATTCTAAGTACGTACTTGTATAACTAAAGAAGATGTGATTTTTTCAGTCAAAAACTAAACCGAGTTTATGATGTAATGGTTCTCTTTATTTCGGGTTAGCGATGTATCTCAGAATACACTACAAGAGTTTTTAGTTTTTTCAAAGTAAAATTTAATATATATATCGTAACAGATGCAAACGCTCACCAATTTTTTAACACATAACATTGTCAAACTCATTAAAACATGCCTTATTTTTGGCCTTTGTAAAATATTATAATTATGGACTTATAACTGTAGAGCCTGATGATGAAGTTATTGAAAACAATTGTTCGCTCAAATATTCTTCGTTTTTGAATATTCTATGGGGGTTTTTAAACTGCTAAAATTTAATACATAAGTAAGATGATGTATTTCTATGAAACACAAGTTAACTTTAGGGTACGTAAAAATATGGTTTCTAGTTGACCTTAGGTGACCGACAGCTCATAAGTCTGAACATGGGCTTTTAATTTAGTTTGCTTTTATTTTATTTGGAATTTATTTGGCAGACAGAAATTAATGTTTCATGGTTTAAATGTTTTGGTTTTCTTTCTTTTTTTCATCAAAAAACAGCCCGTTTAAACATGTATATTTAGAGTTATGGTCGATTTAC